AGAGGTTCTAAAGAGATACAAACCAAAAATATGACACTTATTTCAATATAAAAAAACTACCGGATTCCAGCCCCCAATATGATGTTTGGACATAAATCCCAAGATGTTGAGGTATTACTATACTAAGCCCAACCTAAGTTATTAGTCTAGCTCCCATCCTCCACCCTTCCATGCTACTATCTGGATCTTCAGAGGTTCTAAAGAGATACACACCAAAAATATGACACTTATTTCAATATAAAAAACTACCGGAGGCGCTAAAAAACATAGGCTTCTCTTCGCCCCACTCATTAAGGGGGATGAGAGGCTATTATTTGAGGTTTATTATTTAACAATCTTGATGTTTTGGATGTATCAGTGCATCACCTTATCGTTTTGCAACTACCCAACAGACATTATCAGACTTATGGTCCATCAGGCTGGCAGGGGATCTAAAAATCTAATGGCTAGACTCTGATGGGAGAGGGGGATGTATGTTGTTGTGTATGATTGTTGCATGACTGGTGTTGTTTGTGGGTATGTTTTCTCACTACATTTGTGTATGTTGTTGTGTATGATTGTTGCATGACTGGTGTTGTTTGTGGATTTGTGTTCTCACAACATTTGCGTATGTTGTTGTGTACGATTGTTGCATGACTGGTGTTGTTTGTGGGTTTGTTTTCTCACTACATTTGCGTATGTTGTTGTGTATGATTGTTGCATGACTGGTGTTGTTTGTGGGTTTGTTTTCTCACTACATTTGCGTATGTTGTTGTGTATGATTGTTGCATGACTGGTGCTGTTTGTGAGTTTGTTTTCTCACTACATTTGTATATGTTGTGTATGATTGTTGCATGACTGGTGTTGTTTATTAGTTTGTGGGTTTGTTTTCTCACTACATTTGTGTATGTTATTGTGTATGATTGTTGCATAAATGATGTTGGAAGAAGCGGTTTTTTGGTATGTTGTGTTTGTGGAGTGATGTGATTAGCATTATAAATTCGTGTTTTTATGTCTTTGTATTTGTTAAGTATTAGAATTTCAAATGGTCTAAAATTGTGTTATCTCATAGTTTAAATTTAGTAGTTAAATTATACTTTGGATTTAGTAGTTAAGTAAAAGCTGATATATAGTCAGTTTATGATATTTGCCAACAAGACTGATACACACCATTTTCATTTTTAACAAAATACGTTTTAATATACACACAACAATACAATTTACAG